GTGTCGGATTCCTGGCAAACATGAAAGAAAATAATATACATATATGTATGTGTATATATATACATATATGTATACGTATATATATACATACATACATAAAATGCAGAAATGCAGAAATGCAAAGCATGCAAATGTTTGCATGCTTGGAAAGGGGAAAAAAAGAACAACAAATTTTACCTGAATTTACATGATTCTTGCATTTTTCAAATAATTCTGGCACTTTAGGTTTTGTTTGTCAGTAATGAGACTGAAGACATTCTTTTGAAAAGGTGTCAAACAGACATTTTTAAGTTCAAATGGGGATGATGGTAGACATTTTATTCATCAGAAAAGCTGTTAGGTATCATGTGCAATATACGTGTTTCTAATAATTTAATAATAACACTTTCGTTATAAAAATTTCTAAGGGAAGCATGTAGAACATGGAAAGTACTGGTCCCAACACACAATCCTGCAGAACTCATGCATGAGGAAAAATCGTCATTCACATAAATGATGTATCAGACAGATGAGATTAGACCAGCACAACTATTTTAATGCCAACAGTTTATTCTAGTGTCTGCACAGAGCTCAGTGTCAGAGGCCATGACAACATCATTAGTAACTTGTAGCTCTGCTGTTTTCTATCTTTACTGAAGCACTTCAAAAACAATTTGCAACTGACAATTTATAACAACTTTAATAAAATAAATAAATCGAAGGTTAGAATTGATTTCAGAATTTGCAAAAATACTTGTATCAACTAAAGGGTTTTAAAAACAAAGCAAACTCAGTTTATGTGTGTACACATTTCTACTACTTTTAACAAGTTGCAAAAAATGTTCTGTATTTTTCAACTGAGGTTCTTACGTGAGTGTACGTTTATAAACACGTTGTAGCCGAGAGGATGTGAAGCTTTTAGTTTCTGCTGTGTGTGCCTTATAATGAAGAAAGAAGCTAGGGTGATTTCTGATCGTGTAAATTTAAAGCAAATGATTTTTTGTCTTACACTGGGGAGAGTAAATCACAAATTATTGTGAGAAAATATTGAAATGTGTTCATTTTTTCTCTCTTCTTTCATCTGGGACCCATCGGACCCAGTGTCGGCTGAATGAAACAGAACTAATAGGTGAACAAACTGCACATAATTTACTGAACAACGATTTGGCAGCTTTGTTAACCCAGGATTATCTACATGTCTAAATTGACAAAAGGTTTTACACTTTACCAACATTAGGAGTAAACTGGTTTGGCAGGTTTCCAAGCAGCCTATATCAGCTTCAGGGTCACCTGATCCAACCCCATCTCTAAGTTTTATCGAGAGAAAAAAAAGACAGTGTGAAACTTAATCTGGAGCCTATTCCAACTGTCCCTGGGCAAGAGACAGGTCAGGAGCCCATAACAGGTCTAACACCAAAAGATCTGGAAGACCACAAAAGAAAGTTCTGTGGATGCTAGAATATATTCCTTTGTGTCCAGTTACAAGGAATTGTCTGTCCCAGTGAGCACAGTGGCCTCCAGTTCTCTTCCTGCCTGGCAAATCTGAGCAATCAGGGTAGAGAGGCTGTAGTTAGTGAGGTGACCAAGAACCCGATGGTCACTTCAACAGAGCTTCAGTGCTGCTTTGTGGAGTGAGGAGCATCTTCCAAGACATCCATTTCTGAAGCACTGCAACAATCAGCCCTGTATGGTAGAGCTGCCAGACGAAGCCACTCCTCAGTAAATGATGCATGACATGAGAAATAAAATTCTTTAGTCTGATGAAACAAAGGTTTACCTGTTTGGCTTGAATGCCAATCATGATGTCTGGATGAACCAGGCACGGCTCATCACCTGGTCAGTACCATCCCCACAGTGATGCGGTGGCAGCATCATGTTGTGGGGATGGCTTTGGGGAGAGACTGGAAACTGAGAGACTAGTAATGGTCAAAAGAAAGATGAATGTGTACAGTGCATGCTTGTTAATAACCTGCTCCAGAGCAATCTGGACCTCCAACTGGTGCAAAGGTTCATCTTCCAACGGGGCAATGACAGTAAGGACACAGAAAGGAACTGGATCAGGACCACTCTTTGAATGTCCTTGTGTGGCCCAGGAAGGGTGGAAACTTGAATCCAATGTAATAACCGTAAACCTTTATAAACAATATTAATGACATAATTTTATAACTAAATCATGAATTGTTTTGATGTAGCCCACCACAGCTGTACTTTAATTTTTGACACATCCTTGGTTTGCTTGAGGTCACATGCAGACGATCAGAGGACAGAGGACACGAGAAGCACATTGTAAAGAAACAATGAATGCAAGTGGTGAACTGAAATGTGACTGAATCAACGGACACCATCAACTTTACAGGTGCTCCTGCTGTCAGCCTCAACCTGGAAATTGCAGGTCTGCTACAGTAGGTTCATTGAGTCTGTGTGTTTGTAAATTCAGATTCTTGCAAAAGTAATCATCATCTTTCTGCAAACTTATTGTTCCTGTTTTTGTTTTTGATCCAACAAACAAACAAGCTGCTCATCTGATGAAGGCATCCTGTGACCAGTTGATATTGTCTGTGCATCCACCACCAATGAAATCTTTAGTCTGGCAGAGTGGAAGCAGACAAACACTATTCCATAAACATGGAAAAGTGTAGGTCTTCCAACTGATTTAGACAAATGTTGTCATATAGCAATGACGCATGTCACCTTCATAAGGCAGCTTTTAAGTAATTAAAAGGCTGACACATATGCAGTACATTCTAGAGTCATCTAAGGCAATGGTCCCCAACCTTTTCTGAGCCATGAGTCGTAAGCTCATGTTCAAAGATGACAGTATGCATAATTGGCCTCCTCTTTCACTCCTCTATCAAACCATCTGTCTTCTCTGTCCAGAATGTGAACATCGGCATCCTCGAAGAGTGACCTTTGTCCTTTAGGTGCAGATGTGCGGCTGAGTCGTGTGCTGTCAATATGGCTCTTCTATGTTGTGCCATGTGTTTATGGTTTAGGTTCTCCAATGTAATGGACTGAGCACACCTCACTGCTCTGCACAGCATACACAATGTTGTTTAGTTTCTGTTTTGTCCTGGAGATGAACCTCCACAGACCAGTTTTAGTAGTAGTTCTGTGTTTCAATACCAAGAAAACATTACGACGACTTTAGTGCAATAAAAGCACAACAAAAAAGTCTAAGTACCATCGCTGAAGAGCCTCTTGAGGATTTCTTATTACTGTTTTTTGCAGAAAGTGTATTGGATTGTTGTCGTTTCTGCACACTTCCAGGCAATTTCCAGGCCTCCTTGAATTTGGGAGAGCATCAGAAAGCACCAGTCTGTGTTTAACAAATATTCAGGCAAATAGCCCCATTTTAAGTGAGTGAAGCCACTGCTGTGGTAGCTGCTCGAATATTTGGGCCATCCAAATAAGAACGCCTGGCTATCCTGAACTTGCTTCATAGTTCACCTTTCTGAAAACCTTTAAATGTTATTGTGTATGAAGCAATGACATGCTCTGACAGAGTATACTCTTACACATTCCCAGCTGCATCTTGGCTCTAAGCTGGGCTGTTCTGCATCTTTACCTTCGTTTCAGTCAAAGATTACTAAACAAACAAAACCATACCTTCCATAGAGTGCAGAGTCTGGACAAAGCTTAGTTACTTTGTTAACTGTCTAATGTCTAACTTTAACACAATTAATCAGAGCCCTGTATTTAAGCTGGATAAATGAATAGTTATCTTCCTTGTGATTTTTTTTAATTTATTTTTCCCATAGCTCAAATACTGTGCAAACCAGACACAGAACCACGCAGAGTTTGATGAGACAGTCCTAAAGCTGGATCACAGGCATTCAGGAATAACTGACTCCATGCAGGACGCAAAGGCTTGAATAAAGTGTATTTTACTGAAACAGTAGGCACACGTTTGAAATCTTCACAGTCACCCTCCAGAACAAATGAAATGCTAAACTTAAGGTACAATAAACACTATAAAAAACTAAATGTATTCGTAATCAAACTTTTTTCTACACTGCCTAGGTAACACAGCAGCCCTCCCAACCACAGGGCACAGTGAAGTTTTCAGTGTATACGTTGGAGCTGACGGCCATTTGGTCAGAAGACAGTTACAAAATATCCATCAATGAAAATTGTCTTGGGACCTGAATTCAGCCGAGAACTATTTAACATGGGGAATCCTGAGCACGTCCTGTTAGTGCAGTAATAGCTGAGCTGCCATTGAGAGCTGTGTATGTATTGGATGAGAAGAACTATGAGTCTTTGAGCATGCTGATCTGAGCAAAAATCTTGAGTGCAGGCCCCAGTTTGATGTTCATGGTTCCCATTAGGTGGTCCTCCTTCAGCAGCAGCAGGGCCTGCCCGTCGATCTCCTGAGAGCGGAACTCCTCTGCAATTTCCAGGCAGCCTGCAGCAACAGAGCGACAACGGTGAGTTCACAGCTCACCTGCAGTCCTTACAGAGAACAGTAAAACAATCTATCGGAAATCTCTTTGCAAGAATCAGAACAGGACACTGCTGAAGTCAGGCATCAAAGAAATTACTATGATCGACTGTTGTTGTGTAATAATCAGATAGTGACAACCCTAATCTGCATAGAGGGCTGGGATTTCCATGCTGTTAACACCTGTTTGGTGTTCAGCTTCACTTCTTACAATTTCACTGCTGCCTTTGTTGTGTGGTCGACCAGTCTGATGTCCGTCAGGATCATGTTCGTGACCAGCCTCGAGGTCACGAGTAAAAATCAGTAAAAATCCTGACTACTAAATGTTCTGCAGTCAGCTGTTAGTCAAGTGGCTTTATTGTCATTCCAACCACGTGTAGTGGTGCAGTACACAGTGAGACGAGACAGCGTTCCTCCAAGACCATGGTGCTACATGGTCTACAACAAGTGTTGTGCAAAAAGTCACTTGGTGCAAGAAGGTGTGTGTCAGCGTGTTGGTCCAGTCACTGAGTGTTCTGGAGTGTGAGGGAAGAAACTGTTTGACAGTCTGGCAGTGAGGGCCGAATGCTGCGGTATTTCTTGCCAGAAGGCAGCAGGATGATGTGTGTGTGTGAGGGGTGTGTGGGGTCGTCCACGATGCTGGTGGCGTTTCAGATGCAGTCGGTGCGATAAGTGTCTGTGATGGAGGAAACAGAGGCTCCAATGATCTTTTCAATGATCTAGTTAGTGGTACTTGGGAATAACAGCAACCCAGCCATGGAGTGGTAGGCCACATAAAATCACAGTTAGCTCCAAACTTCAGGTGGTCTTCAGATTAGATTAAGAAAAGGGTGGAGAGGGGCTCATGGAGCAGTTTTCCACGGCTGAGCAACTGCATCCAAGCCTTGCATCACTAAGCTCAAAGGAGGTGGAGGAAAAAATTGATACAGCATAGCATCACCAAATTTTTCGCAGGCATATTGTATTAATATGGGGAACCCAAATATTGATATTTTATTATTATTTTTTAAAGACAGCAAATATCCCCTGACAGGAGGTAACCTTTCAGCAAATAGTCATAGCCTCACTTGGACTGATTGGTTGCAATCTCAGAGAGATTGTGCCTTCATAAATTAGACAGCAAAGCTTTGACAGAGTGTCAGAAGTACAGACATTATTGAAATAGGCCAAAGTGCAAATACCTGAATTAAAAAAAAATACTGCAGTAAAAGTTGAAGTATTAAATCAATTTTACTCGAGCATAAGTAAACAAGTGAAATGTACTCAAAGTAAGGAAGTAAAGAGTAGCTCCATGAAGGACAATTCTACCAAAGGTAACTAAACCTAGTTTTACATTAGACTAGAACGGGAGAATACAAATCTACTTTCTAATTCTAATGAATGCACTAAGCTTAAACGAGTGATGCAGGACACAAGCAGTGAAAGGCAGTTTCCAAACATCATTATTTTCTGTTGCCTATATTGTAGAGGGTGACTTTGCCTCTGCATCTAAACAGAAAAACGTTTACAGTCGGGGTTTAAGGTGGGATTCAGTAACTCTACATCAGTTGTGATTATTAGTGAACAGGTCAGATGACCTGCTGCTCTTTGTGGATTTACACAACTGAATTCAACTAAATGTAGGCAGATGTTTGCTGAGCCATCTTTGCTGACTTATCCTACTCTAACAGTACACTGTACACTGTCTTTATACAGTTGGTAGAAATTCAGTGAATGAATCTAAGCGACAGCAGCTCCAGTCCACATTAATCTTTGCTACATTTAATGTTGGGTTACATTAAATGTAGTGAGCAAGCTAACCTGTTTAACCTGCACAAAACTACCATGCAACATCAGCATTTGAATAACACAAAGTTGCTATACTTAGCTTGTTTTGCAGGGAGTTTCACAATGTGAAAATATACAACTTATCAAAACACATTATATACAATTTTCCAATATTTCCCAATATGGGAATAAAAATTAGGACATTACATGCAACCTTTAAATCTGCAGCTCTTACCTTTAACTATAACCTGTTCATCTGTCTTCCTCCATCTCTGACTAAAGTTACACTCTTTTATCTCCCTGGGAATCCAGCAGCTGGACCTTTAGTTAGCAACACACTGTCACAGACTGCACACACACACACACAGTTTGTGTGTTTGCTGATGTTTGTTCAGCTGACAGAAATGTTGCATTTGAAATGACCTGCTACTTAAAACACTTCAAATGCCCATTTACATTACCAGCCTTTATGGATCACAGAAAATGATCCATGTGACAGCTTTACTAGAAATGTGTTAAAATCTATAAGAAACATAGAAAACATGTCAATAAAATGAAACACTGTTGTAAAAAAAGACACGATCATTCATTGTTAACGTGATTCAGCACACAGAATGGTATCATTTTAAATCCAGTTGATCATTTTAACATTGAGTGCACTCTCACTGCTGATTCCTAAGCTGATGGTTAAACATTAGAGCTCTGCAACTTTAATCTTTAAATGGATCCAGTTTAAAGCTTACTGGAAATCACTGCAGTGAAGTTCATTTCATTTAATGAACAGGTCATCGTAACATGCGTCCTGTGTTCTCGTGACAATGTGACAGTTTGTGATTCATTCAGTGTTTTTAGCAAAGCACAGTTTAACAAGCTGCACATATAAAACACATTCAACCAGCAGTAACTCTATAATACGCTTAAAACAAACTGTAAATGTGGCACTTCCAGCCGATTTTAAACTGAAACCTGCTTCTGACGGTTTCAGCTTTTATTCTCTCAGCTGCACACTCAGTGTTGGATTTGAGAGCAAACATTAAATATAAAAGTAGAATTCAAACATAATGTATGTATGACTTTGATATACAGTGAAGGTTCTGCCAACATGTCGTGCGTGGTGTCGCAGAATGAAGTTGTGTCTAAACATCGATATTATTTATTACAGACGTTCATTAGGGAAACAAAGACACCTCCATTAAAAAACAATAAACCCTCCGACTGTGTGTGTACAGAGGTCAGACAGATTTTCCAGGACAGGTGATGCTACTTTCTGGAGAACTGATTGTTGATCTGGATTTTAACCTGCTTCAGAGCTAGATAGGTTCACAGCACAAGTTACCATGATGACTTACCCTGTTAAGGACTAAACCACCTTAGTAGTACAGAAAACCCTGGGTTAACCCTTAAGTTACTTGGAAAGCCAAACTTGTGTTTTGCAGTTAAATGCAGCCTTTCGTCTTCCATGGATATTCTCAGCCATCATTGCTGTTTCACTCCCCTTCACACAGACACACAGGTGGTCCTGAATACTCAGTGTCATTACATCAGTGGCTTGATGACCTGAAAACAGCCACTCTCAGGAAGCAGTTATTGTTGGTGGGGACTGTTCTACCACACTGGGCTGGCTGTCACTTCCGGTTAGTAGCACAGGTCATCTACTAACTGGAAGGTTGGTAGTTCGATCACCGCCCTCTTCAGCTTGCCTAATTAGGTTAGATACTAATTCCAAGTTGCTCTCTGATGCTTCAGTTAGAGGATGGTGATCGAACTACCAACCTTCCAATTAGAAGTTGACCTGTGCTGGAAGTGACAGCCAGCCCAGTGTGGTAGATGTGGGACAACAGGTCATCTACTAACTGGAAGGTTAGTAGATGACCTGTGGCGTCTGAATTGGCGAAGGTGGTCGCACTTTTCTCCTCTCCTCTCCTTCCTTATCTTCCCTGCTTAGCCTCTTGTGTCCTTGTCTAGTCTCGTGTTTTTTGTATTACTTTTCCCTGGAACACTCTCTCACAGTCTGTTCTCTAAAACCTAAAGAGGAATTATGGATTTGATCAACTGGTCCCTGAATGCAATTGACACCCTTTTCTCAACGAGAAGTTTGGGCTCGGGTGAGTGGTGAGTTCTCAAAATGGGCTCATTGAGCGCAGCACAGATAATATCTTGGAGAAGCTTACGGCTGCCGTGAACACTCAGAATAAGACCTCTGAGCGAAAATTTGATTACACCTTGGAGAAGCTCACTGCGGTCGTGAGTTCTCAGAATCGGCTCTTTGAGCACAAGAATGACAACATCACGGAGCATAAGTTTGATAACATCATGGAGAAGCTCACGGCTCTCCAACGACAGATTGAGAGACCAGTGTCGGACTGTTAGAAAAGCTTTGAAATTCACATGAGTTGTTCACACTAAAGTAAAAGCCACCATCACTTCATGCGGCTACCACTTCGGCGCCAGCTGTGATCTCAAGGCTGGAGCTGAACAAAAACACCCTGATAACAGACGGTGCTTAGACTGTTCATCCCCTATGCAAGGCCACCTGGGTTGGCTGGAAGACTGTTTACTTAGCCTGGCAGGGCGAAGGACACTGTCTCAGCTGAGCTCTGGACACACACACATACACATACACTGATACACACTGACGCTGAGTCCAAGATGACTGACACTGGAACTTGTCTGAGAGCAGATAGTAGATACACCGATGGTATCAGTTTGAAACCCCTAGGTGGCTTCCTCTCAGGGTTAGAACATTCACAAGATTTTCACAAAACTTCAGGTCACTGAGAATTAGACTGGTTGAGATTTTTAGTTGTCATTGAGTTAAGTGCCCTTAACGATTCGTAGATTAATGTTCAGTTTAAGTTATTACAAGTTTGTCTGTCTCCATAGAAACAAATTATGAATAAATGAGAAGAGCCTCTGTAGAGTTGTGCACACTTGACTCTTTCTGCACTGTAAAGAAAGAAAAATGCACAGCTGGATATGAACGCAGGCGTTACCAGATTGAGCACCCACCTGGCAGAGACGAGATGAACTCGTAAACGTCCTCTATGTTCCACTGCCCCGGATCACTGGGCAGGAAGCCATGGTGCAGCAGTGGCAGCTCAGAGCCTTGTGTCACAGGCAGGCGCTGGGGAACTGACACGGGGGACGGGGGTCTTTTGTAGAGGGACAAATCTGAACACTGATTTGAATCCTCCTGTGCAGGGTGGACTGAGTGAGCAGTAGGCAGAGCAGCAGCAGGCTTCTGAACACAGGGAGCAGTCTGAGGGAGTCCGAGAGAAAAATGGGACTATATTGAGGTTTTTCTCTCATTTATAGGTGTAATACATCAGTCTGATTTTTTTTTTAAAAAAAAAGAAGAGAAAAGACACACATATATATATGACTATATACATATAGCATATTCAAAAGTTTGGTACCCATTTTTTTTTACCAGCAGAATCCAGAATTCTTCTTAGCCTCATGTTTATTTATATTTTGGTTGTTTGTGTTTTGATCACCCTTGTTAGTGGTAGGGTCCATGCTGATGACACTGGGAAGGCACAAGAATATGGACTAAGAGCCAGTCTGGACCTCCAGGATGGCGGCAACATGGCGGCAACATGGCAACCTTCAAACATTTCAGTTCTTCATCCTTCAGAAACTGCAAGAAGCACAAGGCCACTGAAGGACTCGTGCACTCAGGCCATCCTGATAAAGCTAGTTTCTGATTGTTTGGTCAGAGATATCCACTCTCTGGCTCGGGCAGTGCTTATCCTGTTCCTTCTTACACAAAGGAGCAGATACCAGTCCTGCTGAAAGCTTAAAGAGCTTCTATGGCCGTGTTCAGCTCTGCTAGAGTACTGAAACCTCCTCTATGCTGTTGAGACTGTACTGAGAGACACAGCAAACCCACACACTCTGCACTTCTATGTAACATTTACAGTCTGATGGATGCACTGGGAGTAACTTGGGTTCAGTATCTTACTAACATTACAATGTTAGCCACATGCAGACTGGAGCAGCCGGGGTTCAAAGCACCAACCACCACCATCTTTGCAAACCACTCTCAGTTATCCTTCACTTCATTAGGAAAAATAGTCCTGACTGTCTCACCTTCTTTTTAGAGTCTATGATGGTGTTTTTGTGGTTTCCATTCACAGCTTTTTGCTTCTTCATGTTCTCCAGGGTGGTTTTGCGGTTCGGGAACAGACCCATTCGTTTTGTGCATCCCACATTGTAACTACAAGGATAGCAAACAAGGCAAGTTCAAAATCTGTGCATCATTCACAAGTCTGAAGTAGATGTTTACGTCTGGTGTGTTGTGAATTAAGTTATTCCTTTGTCATTCTCAGTAGAAGTGTTCTTTGTATTCAGTTCCATTTTATTTCTATAGCGCCAGTTCACAACAGTAGTCACCTCAAGGTGCTTTATATTCTAAGGTAAAGACCCTAAAATGTTTTAAAATAGCTGGAACTATAGCACACAGCAAGTCACTGCACACGGGAGAGAAATATGTGACACTGAGGTCACAGGCAAAGACTGGACCAAACACTCAAGTAGCTTCCTCAGTCATATTCTCCTAAATGTTGACTAATGATGTATCAGCTCGGAGACAATATTAATGCAGTGAACCACAGTGAACTGTGAAAATGAAGACAATGATCTTACCGTTTAGCGCACACCGTAGAACAGAACCTCTTAGATCTTTTGAAGATGTAGGCAAAATCTACCCTGCCGCATAATTCACAGGTCAGCATGGGCTCCTGCTGGCCCTTTACCTCTGAGGGAACAGTCAACACAATCTTTGTGATCATCACGCTGAAACTGTTGAACATCCAGTAAAAAGAACTGCATCCAGCAGCACCAACACCAAAGCTGTTAACCAAAACAAGGGGCTAACACAACTCTAGAGTTCTACACAACTCCCTTTATGCCCAGTATTCCTGACTGCTTTCTTACACAAAATAAATGCTGAATGAAATTTAATGGCACTTTTTTGGTCTCACTGAGCAGCCAAAACACATTTATATGTGCAGCTGAGGTCACTTTGCTACTTTCAAAACCCTTCGACCAATCCCTGTGGTAGTGACAGATCACTTGTACGATATGAAATTAAATTAACAAACTGTTCCAACTTAGGGAGCTTTTGATGATACCGTCCTTCCATGAAAATGCATATGGCATTGTTCTGTAAAACGTTCCTGTTCAGAGCCAATTCAAAAGTGATGCAAAACAAGCCTCCCTGCTTGCTCTTATGCTTTTAAACATCTTCAATATGATGCTGTCCTACACCTTCTACCTCTACATGCACTCTCAGAAAAGAAATGCTGGAAATCTCCTCAATCTTGCATATAACTGAGCAAGGATGAAGGTGTGGACGGTACTGACTACAGCTTACTGTGTATTCTGAAGCTCTGCAGTCAATCAAATCTTTGTCACAAACCCAGCTGGTGAAGAAGTGTTGGGCGTGTTGGACGGGTCAAATAGGCTGAGGCACAGTAATGATTTTCATTTATACATTTATTACAAAGGGCCATCCAAAACCCTACTGACAGTTGGAAAACAGTGGGACACAAATTGATGTTGGTACAATCTACAATACACTAGCTGATTTTGTAAGTTTGCCCACTAAATAAAGAAATCTACCTCTATAGTCTACAATTTCAGTTGATTTGAACAGTGAGAGACAGAACAGTAACTAAAAAAAATCCAGAAAAATGCATTTCTAAAAATTACATTTTATAGCTTGTCTTAGTAAAGTGTCGGGCCACCAAGAGCCACAAAAACAGCTTCATAGTCCTGGGCACTGATTTTGAAAGTCTACAAGGAATCTGAGGAATAAAGACAACCACTCAGTACAGCTTTGGACTGATTTACAGGGACAAGCGTGCCCAAACCAAGCCCATATTCTGAGAAAGAGAAATGTTTAAATTTGACAAACCCTTTGTTGACAGGCTGTCCATCTTTGAATCTGGTGTATATCTTCTTAGATTCTCTATTGAGAAAGATGGACGTTCCACCTGCAGACACAAAAACATATCAGTGCACTCATGCTTATTAAATACTGTTGGATGAAATCATTCATAAGCATGTACATGAATGAAACTTTCTTAATAGTATGACCTATAATCACTCTTGTCCTAGTGGGAAATAAAAGGCCTTGTGTCTCTCTTAAATCTTACAGCGATCAGCTGGTGGGTTATGGAGGCAGAAGTAACGTTATCCTAGAACTATTTAGGAATCAGTCTATAATTAGCAAAAACAAAAGCTTTTTAAGAAGACTGTGGTTAAAAACATGACTTAAAAGCCTGTTATACATAGTCTTTTAATAAAGATAAACAGCTCATAGTTAATATTGATGCTGAGGCTTCTTCCAACGGTCTTTTTGGGAAACAGTTTATCAAACATGTCGTTGGCTTGAATTATAGAATTACAGAAATCTGCTTAGACAGAGCAACAGAAGAAGGAAGTAATCTAAATAAATAAAAGCACTTATTAAAGCTGCAGTGAGAGTAAGATTTTATTTGTGTTGGCAAAAAATAAATAAAACAAAACAAAAATATTTTTCTCCCATTCAGCCTATCCTATTCCATGTGGCAAAACACAGGGTACCGCCTACACAGGTCATGTTGCAGGTTAACACAGAGAGACAGACATTAGTTTGCACTTACATTCATACCTATGGGCAATTTAGAATCATCACTTTAACCTAATCCCACCAACTACATGTCTCTGGATTGTGGGAGGAAGAACGAGTACCAGAGTACCTGCAGGGAACCCCACACAGACAAGTGGAGAACATGTAAACTCCCCACAGAAAGGCCCCAGATAGCTGACTCGAACCCAGGACCTTCATGGTTTCTCTGTGTTGCTCACATTGCTTATACTAATTAACAATTTAGATGGTAAGAAACCAAACAAACAACAGTGAAAATTTCAAGCTTTTTATCTTTAGTGTTTTTTGAGTAGTTTTTTATGGTTGGGAAAAATATCAAGCCTCTGAGGAGGAGTTAAAGTGACTGAATCAAACCCAGAATTTTAACTGGTATTTTTGCATTGTGTTATACACCAGGAGGCGTTGTGCAAATATGTGTTTAAAATGAACCATGCTCTTGATGTTGTAACAAAGGCACTGATTTACATGCAGTTTGTTGTACTTTTGGAGGAGCATGAAACTGAACATGGTGATACAGGCTACCACTTAGCAGTCAGGTGGCTCAGCCCAGGCAAAGTGCTCAAAGAGCACAAATTTCAGCATTTTCCCCTCAGTCACTGAACCTTACTTCACTTGTTCAGCCCAAACAGACTTTATTTATTGAACAAGCAAAAAAAACAAACAAACAAACAAAAAAACAATTGAAAGACGGCACATGCAGTAAATAAACTATAGCAACAGGTCTTTGTATAAAGTTAAGGCCTTGAACTTTTGCACACACATGCACAGTGTGCTCATGTCTGGTTTTTGAAATGCTGATAAAGTTTTAGCATTTTTACTGTGCCTACATCACATTAAATTACCTCACTGTAATTTGATGTGATGTAGGCATCAAATTACAGTGTGTGCACGTGCACACACACACACGCACACAGCATTCTCCAAAACAGTAATTTCGTATAAGGCAGAAACTTAAGACACTGGGCAGGGGCGTGCACAATCCTCATCTTGTTAATGTGACATTACTCATTCAGACCAATGAATGTAGAAAACACCTGGAGCCATCTCTACTGCCCCCTGGTGTCTAGCTGCAGCACAGGCCATAAAGCAGATGGGGCTGTGGTAAAACTAAACAAAAGCACATTTTCTCAGATAAGTTTTACCCAAAGATGCTTTCAGCTGTTATTGGTCGTTCTCATTACGTGTTTGAGGGCTACCCTCTCCCATAAGTTTGATTCTAACTTCTAACTTGATGCTGTTACACCAAGGTCCAAAAGTCATCGCGCTGCCCAGTCACCAACATTACTGTTACATTACAGGCTGACCTGTTCTCCTTTTCCTTTGCAGAGCTGTTAAATAAATATCTGTAAACAGCTACATGTTTCTGTCTCCACATCTTTTAGCGATAAACTTCACATTTGACAGTTTGTGATGATTATTTTGTCTATACAGTAACAGATGCTGACCTAGGATTTCTCACCCTGCCCAGTGACAACATATAAATATTCTTATATGTCCACTCTTAATGGTAACTACCCACATTACGTTGGACTAAACTTCAAAAAGTCAAAGAGATTAAACATCCATGTAACTGGAGTCACTACATAGGAGCATAAACAGTGTTTAGGAAAGCTGCTGATCTCAGACCTGCACAGTTTCTGCTTTAAACACTGAATATATTCAACTGCATAAAGAGAACATGAGATTTTCTTTGACAGCATTAAATAAAACCTGATGAAAGGTCTTCACTTAATCACTTTAATAAGGAATTCTTTCACATTGTGTTTTGCTAATAGAGTCTTGTTTGCCATAAAGTCATTCAAAGCCATTCATTCCAGAGTAACCAGAGAGGATAATACACAGTCCAAAACTTTAAGACCACTTGAAAAATGGCAAAAATCATATTTTGCATGGTTGGATCTTAATAAGGTTCCAAGTCGAGCTTCAACATGGAACACAAAACCTTTTTTGAGCATTAAATTTATTGAAAACAACGCTTAAACTGAAACAGGCTGTTCTAGCAGGCTGATCTCTGCGATAAGCTTCAGTCCTCCTGATGTTTCTGAAATGATGTCTCTCGGTGAGTCAACAGAACATCTGGCACAGGACAGCTGTGGTGACTGAAAGGAAAAAAGCTTCTCAAAACCTCTGGACACCCAGCTTGGTCTCCCTCACTATCTGTTCATAATAATGTGGACTCTGTTATTACATGAAAAGGACAAATTAAACTTCTATCAAACCTTCTGCTGCATTTTTAGATCTAACATTTTATTTAATGTTTCCATGTCAGCAGAGTGTTCTGTGAGTGGATCTAAGACTGTTTAAATCTGCAGTTCTATATCATCCTCAATCTTATGTTAAAATCTCAAAGAATGACTTTTAATGTTTTAATTCTAAAAGCAACTCTGCTGACTTCACCTCTGTTTAAAATAAGACAACACAAACTAAGGAGTAATAAATCCTTCAAAAATGTGTGTAGCACTGCTAACTAGCCAGTAACAAGTCTTTAACACACTGCATATGCTAACAGCCAATCTAGCAAACAAATCACCACCAGGAGCTACAGAGTGATGTCAGGTGTTGTGTACAACTATAAGACGTTAAGATGTGAGTCTTTTGAATCATAGTGACGTGATTGTATTTACCTTAATTTAACAAGCTGTCAGTAACGGTAAACCCATCAGCAGATACCCTCAAACTGGAGCAGCTGGGCTACCTTAAAAAAGCAGAGGGGCATGTTCGTGGTCACGTCCAGTCGGTGTGGGTGGGAGTTCGACGCAGTGACTGCACCTCAAGTCAGTAGTGCGCTCCAGCTTTCTACAGTGAGTTTGTAAACCATCAGCACAGATCGTCAGAACCAGAGTAGCCACGTTATGTGAAAAGACAGTCACTGGACCATCCTTTATGAAATAGGGGGAGACGCCATCCCATAATTCATGACTAGGGCTGCCA